AGGCGTGGTTGACTCTTAACTTTTATAAAGAATATCTCTTTGGATTTGAGACTTTAGTGTTTGCAACTTTACTGATCTTCTTTATGCACCAAGAGCTTGTAACACTCCAACGAGAAAGGAAAAATTGAAATCGCATCATATGACCCCTTTAAATCAAATTGTTTAAATGTGTAAAAACGACAGAAAAGGCACATCATACAGAAAATCATCCAGTTCTCAAATATCCGTCCAGCTCACCTCTGATGGCACCGATCTTGTTTGGGTCGAGTCTCTTTAGGCGTCTCTTTGTGTTTCCAGTGGTGCTGCTTTGAGAGAGTTCCTCCGCTGTGAAGATGTTTCTCGACAGGTACCGCACCGCCGCACTGGGTCGTGCCATTTTCCCAGCCCTCTGTAGGATACAGTTTGAGAGGAACACCTTCCTGTCAGAGCCGCCCAGACAACCTACAGGAGCAGAAACAGACACAAATGGCAGCATTAATATAAATTATTGCTGCATGGATCATTGTTCTGGATTAAAATCATTCACTAGCAATTTAGTGAGTTTTAGCCTTATAGTAACGGATTACCCAAAATGAAAATTAGCTGACAATGTCCTTGCTCTCAGGCCATCCAAGATGTAGATGAGTTTGTTTCTTCATCAGATTTGGAGAAATGTAGCATTGCATCACTGTCTCAGCAATGGATGCTCTGCAGTGAATGGGTGCCGTCAGAATGAGAGTCCAAACAGCTGATAAAAACATCACAATAATCCACACCACTCCAGTCCATCAGTTAACGTCTTGAGAAGTGAAAAGCTACATGTTTTTAGCTTCAAACTTTGCTTCTGGCTAAAATATGTGTACTCTATCCATAATATTGCTTTCTGCATTGATAAGTTGTCAGGAGAGAAATATGCACAGATCAAGCACTGTTTATGAGCAAACAATAGTCTAAAACTGTTCTAAACAAGTATGCGGGTGGATTTTAATGTGAGAGGACTTTTTCACTGAAGGAAGCTTTATTATGTATTATGGTTATGGATTTTGACCAGACGTTTAAAGTTAAAATGTCTGTTTCTTATTATTGTGATGTTTTTATCAGCTGTTTGGACTCTCATTCTGACGGTACCCATTCACTGCAAAGGATCCAGTGGTGAGCAAGTGATGTAATGTTAAATCTCTCCAAATCTGTGCCGAAGAAGAAATAAACTCATCTATATCTTGAATGGCCTGAGGGTGAGTACATTTTCAGCCTGTTTTTATTTTATGATGAACTATTCATTTAATTTAGTCTGGGACAGACAGATAGAGTCAATACAACAAATGCGTGAAATGAATGAGCGCTTGAGTCTGAGAACTGATCGAGAAGGCGGTTTGTCAACTCTAAAAGTAGCAGCGCTTTCACTGAAAGACTAAAATAGAAAAGCGTGCCACAATCTGATGAACAGATCAGTTTTCCTGATGCTGACTTAAAGGCTTAGATAAGGTGACAATGGCTTATGTTCTCTTTCCATAAGCCAGTGTTAATCATCAGCCCGTGTGATGTTTACATGGCACCATATGTGATTATCCAACCCTTCAATGCTTTACCAACCATGAAACATTGATGCTGAGTTAAAGGGGTCATATGATGCTGCTGAAAATAACATTATTTTGTGTATTTGGTGTAATGAAATGTGTTTATGCGGTTTAAGGTTCAAAAAACACATTATTTTCCACATACTGTACATTATTGTTTCTCCTCTATGCCCTGCCTTTCTGAAACGCGTCGATTTTTACAAAGCTCATCGGTCTGAAAAGCGAGGTTGACCAGACGTTTAAAGTTAAAATGTCTGTTTCTTATTATTGTGATGTTTTTATCAGCTGTTTGGACTCTCATTCTGACGGCACCCATTCACTGCAGAGCATCCATTGCTTAGCAAGTGATGCAATGCTACATTTCTCCAAATCTGATGAAGAAACAAACTCATCTACATCTTAAATGGCCTTAGGGTGATTTAAATTTTTGTGTGAACTATTGCTTTATACTTAACTATACTCTCTGAAAGCAAGTGCAGGATGTTATTCTTCCCAACTAAGTAAATTTCTCTTGTTTTAAAGGAACAAGACTCTTACTCGTATTCGTCAGATCTGCAGTTGAAGCACGGTCACTGATCTCTGAGCTTATTTCAGCTGGTCTCTTCACCCGCTCAAGATGCTGCATTAGACTCATTTTATTCCTGCTGAAAGCTTCTTGTGTTGTGTGTGTTGGCGCAGTGGTCTTGACGGAGATGCGGGACTGGCTCTGGATAAAAAGTCGAGGAGGGCTGGGCACCTCTGGGCCGGGGGAGAGTGTAGGAGGTTTCCTGCTCTCCACAGACGGAAGGGGAGACGTAGAGGAAATATGAACGAGGTGGGGCATAGACGCTTCAGAACCGATCAAGGTTTCAGACTTGGCCTGGCAGCTGTCTCTGTAGCTGGATGACAAGTACATCCTCTAAAATGAGAGGAAGAAAGTGAAGGAGAAAGTTAAATTATGGTAAAAACAGATTTTTTTTTCTTAGGTGCAGGATTATAGTTAACTAAAACTATTTAAAAAAGTTAAATAAAATAATTACTTAAAATAAACTTTAACTGAAATTAAATTTATTTCAGCTAGTTGCCAAGGCAACATTTCTCATTTTCATTTAGTTTAGCATGAAGTTCTTAAATAACTAAAGCTGAGAGAAAAAAAAACACAGTATTCAACTAATGTGGTCATATATTAATGAAAATCAAACTATATAATACTAATAATGCTATGAATAATCTTTTGGTTTGCATCCATTTAAATTCCATATAGAAAATTAGATATTCAAACATTAATTATTTATATTTATTATTATTAATATTAATTATTAATTATAAAATGTTCAATTCAATTGATTCAGTAGTCACTACCACAAGTTTATTTAAAGGGGTCACGAACTGAGAATCCAAAATTCCCTTCATCCCTTCAAAGGTCATTGTGCTATAAAAACATCCTGTAAATTTCAGGAATCAAAACTTTCTAGTTATTCTAAAAACAGCTTATATTAAAGGCAGTCTGCCAAAACAACAGCTTGTGGAATGTACGCCTCTATGATGTAATAGTGTGGATAAGCACCGCCTCCGCAGAAGACAACGCCTGCTTCAACATCACTGCCTGTTTAGCCCATAGACTGTATAAAAACATGGACGTAGTGTCCGTGACGTTTAGCCCCACCCACCGATTCTACGTCACTGCCTGTTTAGCCCCACCCACCGATTCTACGTCACTGCCTGTTTAGCCCCGCCCACCAATTCTACATCCCTGCCTTTTTAGCCCTGCCCACCGATTCGTGCATGTAGTGTTTACGATAGAGGCGAACACGCAGGTTTACGCAGAAACCAAACGATAAAGATGCTCCAAGACAAGACGCTGTTCAGTGCCAAACTGTGGAAAAACAGTGTTTGTGTTGCCTTCCTTCTGATCCCAACGTTAGGAATGAACTTTTTTTTTAATGAAGTATTTTAAATGAAGATCTAGACCGTGTCAGTAAGAACTCGGTCCTTTGTTCACTTCGTTTGACCGCGGATTCGTTTACAAACAAGGCACAATTCAACATTGTAATTTTCAGAAAGATTGAAACTAAAAGACGATGCTGTGCTGAATATATTGGATCAGACAGTAATGTCGCAGTGTGAGTAACTGTTTTTATTATGTGCTCACTATTGCTCTGTCTGTTATTACAGATCGTTTGATATGTACTGAGTATTTATGCATCAACCATACACAACAATAAAGATCTTTGATAACCATTTGTTTGCATCCCCAAAACTAGGTGTGTGACCTTTTGGGTTACGAGATCCTAACAAGCCAAAAGGTCTTTTATGTTTTTACAACTGATTTGAAGATTTCTTTTTTCTGGTCTGGGTATATAAGTGAAGTGGCAAAACATTACTTGGCGATTCTGTAGCCAGAAAGCCCGTAGTGTGGTGTGTGTCTCTGCACTCCATATTGTGTATTTTCCAAGGTCAGGAATGCATTTTTTACTCTTAGATTCATCTTTGAGGATTTGATGTCTTGTATTGATTTAATATCTTTGAATTGACTATGTAATTGGCATAATACATACAGGTGCATCTCAATAAATTAGAATGTCGTGGAAAAGTTCATTTTTTGTTGGAGCAAGCAGAGCGCGGCCGACTTAAAGGTAGATATTTACCCTGCATCCTCTGTCTAGACCAGAACTGACGAGTTTGTGTCCGTGAGGATGCGACCGGCCGGCGTAAGTTCTCTGTGCGATACCGGGTCCCTAATGAACGAATAATTGAAAGTACGGGATGTTCGGAATAATCAAATATCTAAATTAATACATAATAGACATTTGTGCTCAGTTTTTAATTAGAAACTTGCCTAAATTTGATGATCACTTGAAATTGGAGTCAGATTGAACACGGAGCTAGACTAAAATTGAAACTAAATCCTGATAAATTCAGAGGCACAAATAAAAGACTGAACACGCATTAAACCTTCAACCAGGCCGCTGGACTTCGCTTTTTTGGGCCAGTGGGTGGATTCTTACAAGTGTTATCTGCATGAGTTCACCTGGTTAAATTGTGTGGCACTTTGAGTATTTTTTATATATGTTAGAGGGGTGGTGGACTGTTTTTTTTCTAGGCTTGATTGTGTTTATGGGGTGCAGTCTAACGTGTTAACGCTTCGTTAAAAAAAAAAAAACGTGTTATTTTTCACATAATTTACCTTTATTCTACACCTCTCTGTCCCTTCTCTGATAAACGCTCTGATGAGTTCCTACTTTTATGAAGCCCCTCCCTCAGAAATAGGCGATGGGCTCTGATTGGTTAGCTCATTGTTGGAGCTGAGCTGATGAGCTGATGATCTGAAGACAACAAGATGCTGTGCAGTGCCAAGTTGTGGAAAAACAGTCTTTCCATTGCCTTACTTCTGATCCTAACATTAGGAAAAAGTGGATGAACTTTATTTTTAATGAAGATCCAGACTGTGAAAGAGTGGATGAACTTTATTTTTAATGTTTCAGACCGTGTCAGTAAGAACTTAGTCCAACTTCATTTTACTACGGATTCGTTTACAAACAAAGCACAATTCGGCGCGGGATTTTCAGAAAGATTGAGACTAAAAGACGATGCTGTGCCGACTATATTGGATCCAACAGTAATGTAACGCAACACACGTTTTCATTATGTGATCACTATTGCTCTGTCTGTTATTACAGATCGTTTGATATGTACTGAGTATTTATGCGTTTTTGCCTAAATCACAGCTGTGTCCATCTATGAAGGATGTAGACCGTCAAACATACACAACTGTTAGCCAATCATAGCAGTGGGCGTTTACTTCCGAGTCTATAATCCACCAGGTCTATTCAAACAGTGATGAGGGGGGTCAAAACAGGACAGAAAATAGCCTATTACTTCTAAATTATGATGTTTTTCGATGTAGAAATCTTGATAACATTATAAGGGGACCTCAGAGAACAGTAAAAATTAATAAAAAAGGCAGTTCATGAACCATTTAGCACATACATACAAATGTAACTGTTAATTGTAACTGTAATGTACTTGTTCATATTGTAATATGCGAGTTGTGTTACTTTTACCTGAGAGTGGACAGCTGGATTCTGATGACTGGTCTGGATGCTTGCTACCTTCGCCTGGAGCATCTCAAACTTCTCATCGAGTTTCAGAATGGCTCCATATGTAACCTGAACAACGAAACCAGACTTTAAATCTCATACTGAGCTTTAATGCAAAAAACAACAACTCAAGGTTAACCATAACAGGCAGGATCAACTGCCTCATCATTACCTGACAGTATGCAAGAATCTCTCCCAGAGTTCTTTGCAAATCAGCTCCGTATATCTCAGTCGAAATGACACTCTCTGCCTTCATGCACAACAACAAAGTTGTCAAAAATAAAAACAAGATATTACGGCAATTTACTGAAGCCAATATTCATTATAGGAATGAAGTATGTTTGTGAAGAGCCATCACCTCGTGTGAATTATGTGGTATTTCATGTGTGACTTCATTAATAAGAACTTTATCAGACATCTAGCAGAAAATAGACAGCATTGACCATTTCATGCCTGCATTCGCTGTCAAATTACCAACAAAACCGAACCCACATATATTATTACTCTCTTATTAGAGAGTAAAAAGACTTGTATAAAGAAAACAACCAATTTGTGGGAACATTTTAAATGACTATTTACTCTATAAATTGTGTTTGTGTTTACATGTAAATATATACATTTAACACGTGTTAAACCGACTGCCACAGATGGTCTACTTACGATCCCGAGCAGCCCTGTTGTATTCCTCTCCACTAACTATGAAAGTGCACTGTGTGATACTCTACCATACTGTCACCGAGGGGACTGGGGCCTCTGGATCTCATCAGCGGCGTGCTGTCATTGTCCATGCTCTCTATGCTGTCCTCTTCTGCCTCAGCCTTCAAACCGCACAAAACACTTCTGTCCCTGTTCACTGGAGGCAGAGACCACGGGTATGTGTGGATTAGTTTACTGTGCCAACGCTGTAGTTACAGTTTAATTTTGATAATTACACACAAACTGAGCTATCGAGGTATCCATCCATACACCTATCTATCTATCTATCTATCTATCTATCTATCTATCTGTCTATCTGTCTGTCTGTCTCTCTATCTATCTGTCTGTCTCTCTCTGTCTCTGTCTGTCTGTCTCTATCTATCTGTCTGTCTATCTGTCTGTCTCTATCTATCTGTCTATCTATATCTATCTGTCTGTCTGTCTGTCTATCTGTCTCTATCTAGCTGTCTATCTATATCTATCTGTCTGTCTCTATCTATCTATCTATCTGTCTATCTGTCTGTCTCTCTATCTGTCTCTATCTATCTGTCTGTCTGTCTCTATCTATCTGTCTATCTGTCTTTCTGTCTATCTGTCTGTCTATCTGTCTCTATCTATCTGTCTATCTGTCTGTCTATCTGTCTCTATCTATCTGTCTGTCTGTCTGTCTGTCTGTCTATCTGTCTCTATCTATCTGTCTATCTATATCTATCTATCTGTCTGTCTGTCTCTATCTATCTATCTGTCTGTCTGTCTGTCTGTCTCTATCTATCTATCTATCTATCTGTCTGTCTCTATCTATCTATCTATCTGTCTGTCTGTCTGTCTTGATAGATTAATACTTTCATTCAGCAAGGACACTAAATTGATCAAAAAGTGACAGTATAGACAATGTTACAAAAGATTTCAAATAAATTCAGCTATTTTGAACTTTCTATTCTGTATAAACTGTGTATTTGTAGTGACTTAACCTGTTGTACAATCTTGTTATGAATGAAGTACACAAATGGTGTTGAGGCAATATTAGCTCAAATAATAATAATAATAATAATAAAGGCGTCTGGACATGCACCATGGCAGTATCTTGTTATTATTTTCAGTACCTTTTAGTATCACGGTACTTAAATACAGTAAGTTTAGTACTGTTATTTTTGAAGTACATTGGAGCAACACCATGCAATACTAATTACCATGTACCATGGTATTAACATGGCAAACATTTAGTTTCATAGTATTAAAAATAACCAGCATCTGATAACGTTAACGTTACTATCATGGTTAATACAACAGACCTGCTTTTAGACGTGTACGTGATAGTTAAAGTCTCGTTTAGTACCATGCAAATGTCATGTGTAAGAGGTATTCGGTGTCTGACAGACAATGCGAAGCGTTCCGTCAAAACAGCCGACACTAGTTCCCTCTTCCGTCCGTTCTCTTGAGCGTTCACTGCGCAGTAAACGATGCACGGCGTGATGAATAAACGCACAGCGAGTATAAAGCTGCTTCTCTTTTAAAAAAGCGAGGAAAACATAAAGACATAACCAAAAACACATAAGTTGATGTATTATGTTGAGCCAATATCAAGTGAAGCGTTTAATGCGAATTATAAAGAGATGCACTTGTACCGTGTGCAGACATGCTCGGTCCGCCGCTGTCACTCGCGCAGTAACCTTACTGTTTATCGTAAAGCGCTTATTGTAATTTACGTCTGTTGCTGGTATTGGAACGGTTTGGCTGTTGTTATTGTACGGGGTTTTTAGATGGGATTCAAACCACGCCCGTTCCGCAGTGCCAGTCCTCTCTGCGCATGTCTGAACGCAGCTTGGCGTTCAGTTCACGAAGCGTTCCCAACAAGGCTCGCTCTGAGACTCAAGCTGGAGGCTGTGGCGCGGTGGCGAGGGGCGGCGCTAGGTGCCCTGTTGTTGGCAGATGCACTGTTATTTCGGTGAAATGACTGTTAAAGCTTTCTCTGTGTTATTGTTCAGGTAACAACGAACTTGTAAACGTGTCTCGCGGCGAGGTCACGTGCTATCTGTTGCTTTTCTCAGCGCTCGAGCGGATGAAGCAATCACAGTTTCGCACTGATAATGATTTCTGAATCCTTTTATACAGAGTCTGTGGGCGCATTTTCATTTGTACGTCAGGAACTAATTAGGGGGGGGGGATAGATTCAATAAATAATAACAACAACAACACCAAAATCACGCTGAGATCTGAACCCTTATGAAAATTAACCGTGGTGGTTTATTGTAGTAAAAGTGTAGTGACCATGGTATTGATTACCATTTGTATAGTTTTACTACAAATACCGTGGTTAAACTATGGTTAGTCTAGCAAAACCATGCTTAATTTGTGGTTACCATGGTTTAAAGGGGTCATATGATGCGATTTCAATGTTTCCTTTCTCTTTGGAGTGTTACAAGCTCTTGGTGCATAAAGAAGATCTGTAAAGTTGCAAAGACTAAAGTCTCAAATCCAAAGAGATATTCTTTATAAAAGTTCAGAGTCAGCCACGCCTACCTAAAACGGCTCGTTCTAACACGCCCCCACATATCTACATCACTATGTGGGAAGATTTGCATAACGCCACCCAATGGAAAATAATGTGTTTTTTTAACCTTAAACCGCATAAACACATTTCATTACACCAAATACACAAAATAATGTTCTTTTTAGCAGCATCATATGACCCCTTTAACTATAGTAACGATATTTTTTTATTTATTATTATTTGTAGTAAAAGCATGGTTATTTTTCGTAAGGGCAGCTTTCCATCTGATCTGCAACTGTTATATGGACAGCAAACACTTGGAAAGATTTTGTCATTTTTACACCTTTTACACTAATTATACTTTATTTGCAATAAATAATTAATATATAATTTATATACTTTTATTTGCCAGTTGAATTGCACTGTATTTGACTGTATATAACTTATTTTGTACTGTTTATGATATAGCCTTTACAAATTAGGCTAATTATGAACCGATCACAATAGATCCTTCAGAAATCATTGTAATGTGCTGATTTGCTGCTCAAGAAACGATGATAGGTGTTTTTCAAAATACTTTGATGAATAGAAAGTTCAAAAGAACATAATTTATTTGGAACAGAAATATTTTAGAATTATACACGTCTTTACTGTCACTTTTGGTTAATTGATTTGTTGAACAAAGTATTAATTTATTTATTTAAAAAACTTGCAGCACAACTTTTAAATTGTAGTGTACCACATAAGCTACTCACAAAAATTCAGAATCAGGACCGGGATCTTTTATAGCTGGCACCGCTCCTTCTTTCAGTAGCAAACCATGTGCTAATCCAGCGTCGAACTGGGCCTTGTTTATAAAACGTTCCTCAACAAACACGCACACTTCTTTAGAGACATTCTTCCCGAGCGAGTCCCGTGCAGCGCTGCCGCCAGATGAAGCGTGTTGATGGGCGTGCTCTTGCTCTTGCTCTGGTCCATGCGTGCGCAGGCGCATTCTTCCGGGAGAAATGCCCATATAAGGAGTTCCACCCTCGTTTACGTCATGAAGAGCCACGATCGAAAAAAACTCTCCGAAACGTGTAAGATTTTTAGCACAGAAATACTCCGTCATACGTCCAAATTGTTTTTTGAAACTTTGTCCATGCTTAGCATGAGAATCCAACTCTTTAACAGTGTAAACAACTCTGAATGCATGAAACAGCATTGTACCCCCCCCCCCTTAATCAGCTTAACTATTTTCAACATTGATAATAATCTGAATTGTTTGTTGAGCAGCAAATCAGCATATTATAATGATTTCTAAAGGATCTTGTGACACTGAAGACTGGAGTAATGATGCTGAAAATTCAGCTTTGATCACAAGAATAAATAACATTTTAGAATATATTCAAATAGAAAAAAAAGTTATTTAAAATTCCAATAATATTTCACAATATATCAGTTTTACTGTATTTTTCATCAAATAAATACAGTCTTGGAGAGCATAAAATACTTATTTAAAAGAAAATTATTCCAAATATTGTGTGTGGTGTGTGTGTGTGTGTGTTTGTGTGTGTGTGTGTGTGTGTGTGTGTGTGTGTTTTTTCATTTTATTTTTTATATACTCATTGAAATCTTTTTTTCTCTACTGAAGTTTCTAGTCATCAAGTAGGGCTTGTGTACAAATTCACTTGTCTTCAACAATCAATTTCAAGAACATTGCCTGATTGTGACTAATGTTCCCGTGTTGGATTAAAGGACAGTATCCATAATAATCTACTAATCATTGTACTGATGTTATTTTATTCATTCATTTATTTTTGTCATGTCCTGGAGGTCATTTTTCTGCGCTTCCGATTTGTTGTACAGTCCTGCTTTGAATGTCCTTCTGAAGTAGGGCTTTCACCAGATAACAGAGAGACAGCTGAAGCAGAACCCAGATAACAGTGTCCTGTGGGCTGCTCCCACACTCAGAGAAGCAGGAGGGCAGTCACCAGTGGACAGCGTGGCACTGGTGTGTTTGGGAGGGTACGTGTTCGGAAGCAGGAGCGTGACATTGTCTATTAGCTGCTGTGTGAGATAAATACACAGCTGTTCTTCCACTTGTTTGATGCGGCTGTCACGAACGCTGCAAACACAGCCAATAAACATGTTGAAGGTGGATTTTCACAAGAGTTGTTCAGGGTATTTGAAAAAGCTAATTCATGCTCGACTCAAAACAATTTATTAACAAAACATGCGATCTTCTTCCTCATTAGACTGACAAATACAAAAGAGCATATAGGCTACCAGTGACGGGAGAAATTAAGCATTTCAAAACGTTGAATCAACTGAACCGAATGCTTTGCAAAATGACTCACTGTTTTGAAGTGCTCAAAATGCTGGTCAAAACTGTGTAAATGCGATGAAAACTCAGGCTAAACATGCATAAAAACACCTTTTACAAACCAACTGCGAATGTGTTGTTGAACGTGTAATCTATTAAATGCAATTTACCAATAATCTAGTACCACTAAATATGAATTGTCTGTATAAAATGTGTTGTTTTATTAAATTGTAGGGAGTATTTTGGTCAATAAGCAACTCTTCCTTAAATGTGTAATTAAAAATGTCTACAGATTTATAAAACTGATCTGAGATCAGGTAAAATCCACTGGTTCATGAGTTCGCAGAGATTGACCACTAGCTTCAAGCCATTGACATTATGAAACATTTTCAGAAATGAAGCAATTTCTTGCACGTCAACTTCCCTAAGGTTGATTCTCTTTTAGTGCCTGAACTTAATGGAGCCCTTACCTCAGAGGAGAATACTAAGTCAATTAATGCATTGCAATCTAAGAAATCACAAGACTTTGGCAGTTTGATACGCGCTCCGAACCACTGGTTCAAAACAAATGATTTGCAAAAGTTTGAAGCTTCACGAACAATATAAACACACAAATAGGCCACTCACGCAAAGATGCAGGGTCCAAAGATTTCAGACAAGTCTGCTGAAGTCATGTGGTTGATATGGCCACGAGCAGCTACACGAGACAGGAAGTGAATAAGCAAGCACAGGATGTTGAAGATTTCGGGTGCAAAACTCTCCAGGACCTTCTTCGCACGCTTGAGGTCCAAAACCTTGCCTTTGGTTTCTGCGTGATAGAGTAAAGAATCAAAACACATTTGGTCCGATTTGGAGATTTGGAGGTGTAGGCAGACAGAAATAATCTGGAGTGTGAACGTACTTGTATAGACACTCAAGAGCCATTTGGCACTCCACCATGGGATGAGTCCATTAGGCAGTTCTCTCAGGAAGAGAATCAGCAGAGAGGCCACAGCATGGACATCATCGCTGCCAAAACACTGAAACTCGCCACCATTCAGACTTTTCTTCAACTCGCTGCACCGTGCCTCTGATCCACTGGCACGGAATAATTCCCTCTGATGGAGTCCTAAACACACAAACACGCACACACACACACACAGGTTTGTTTTTATGGTTTATGGGGACTCTCCATAGGCGTAATGGTTTTTATACTGTACAAACCGTATTTTCTATTGCCCTACACCAACCCTACCCCTAAACCTACCCCTCACAGGAAACTTTCTGCATTTTTAGATTTTCAAAAAAACTCATTCTGAATTATTTATAAGCCTTTTGAATTACGGGGACACTGAAAATGTCCTCATAAAGCACCTTCTCGTTGTAATACCTATGTCATACCCATGTTATTATACAAATTTGTGTCCTCATAAACCACATAAACATGCACACACACACACACACACACACTCACACACACACACACACATGCACAAATTCAAATGGTACAAATAATCCCAACATATATTTAGCAATTTAACTAACTACTCTTAGAAGAACACTTTCAAAAACACTCATACTTCTCTTACCATATTGTTCCAAAAACTCCACCATCTGTAGGAGCACCACAGGGACGCCCTGCCGCATATGTCCACGTTTCTTCAGAAAAACAAGGGGGGCACCGAATACACACTTTACCTCGAGTGATGTGGTCATAAAGCAGTCTGATGGTAGTGCATAGTAGTCTGAATCATCACTTTCAGTCTGCAAAGAAGTGACAGTAGTTCAAACTTAGGCTTGGTATGTGATAAAACAATAAATATCATATTTCACCCTAAAAACAAAAGAAATAAAGTAAGAAGAAAAGCACGAAGGCCTGTATTTAGCACCATGAAGATTTTATTTTGCAGCTGTAAAAGTCATTCTCAGTACTTTTTGTTTTCGTATTAATATAATGAAAAATATTTTCATTATAGGGTATTTATACGTCTTTGTAGTATTTATTTTTTTTGGAATT